TTGCAGGGGAAAAAAAACATAAATAACCCGAACTATGCTGATGCTACTACTCTGTCTGCAAACTTTAGTAATTAAAATCAAGTGGCACAGTGGAACAATTTATATAGCATAAAATCATAAATAACCTGCATTATGCTGATGGATACTACTCTGTCTGCAAGCTCTAGTAATTAAAATCAAGCAGCACAGTGGGGCAATTAAGTATTATAAAATCATAGGGTTCAAAGGGGCCTTGGAGGTCTTGTAGTCAAACCTACCCAGGGCAGGAATCCTCAGACAACTTTCCAGACAAATGGCTGTCCAATCTTTGAAAACCTTCAGTGATGGGACACTCACAACTTCAAAAGGCCAGCTGTTCCACCTCTCACAGTATGGAATTCCCTCCTTATTTCAAGACAATGAAGAAACTTAAGTGGAGGATAGTGTCTGCTTTTTAGGACTGACTACCATTTGTAAAGGAATCAACAGGGAAGAAATATGCTTTAGGCAAGTACTTGGTAGAGTATACTAACAAAGGCTTGTACAAAATATTCAGCTATGTGCTGAACAGATTTCTCTGTGATATTCTATGGAAACAAAAGTTCTATTTGAAGAAGCACAATAGAAAAGGTATTGGTGCTTTTGAACGTTAGGGTCAGACAAGACACTTGAGAGTGCCATAGGTAGCCAAGAAAGCAAACAAATGGATCAGAGACCAAATCTAGCTGCGATTTTATTTCAGAACACATAGACTCAAGTTATCACATTAGACACATTACACAAAGACTCAGAACTTTTCAGTAAATGTCAGCACCAACTTGGTATAGGTTGGAAACATGCGGAAGTGGCCTTCATCTTGCAGTAGATAGACAATGGCTAAAATGATGATGATTTCTATCTGGTAATATATTTAATAGTTTTCTCTTCTTCCTTTTTTTATGCCTCCCAATCAGTCTTGTTTCCTGGCAACTGCCTGGAGAAGTACTTCCAGGTTTCCTGGCAAGAGTTTCCAAAGTGATTTGCCATTACTTTCCTCACAGGGCTGAGACAGGACTGATCCAAAGTCATCCAGTTTGTTTTATGCCTAAGGTGGAACTAGTCCAGGGATAGGTAACCTTGGCTCTTTTATGACTTGTGGACTTCAATACCCAGAATTCCTGAACCAGCCATGCTGACTCAGGAATTCTGGGAGTTGAAGTCCACAAGTCATAAAAGAGCCAAGGTTGCCTATCCCTGGACTAGAACTCACCGTCTCCTAATTTCTAGCCCAATGTTCTGAACTGCTGCAGCAAAACAGCTCAGTCATTTTTGACAGTATAAAATTATAATTTTGAAATTATAAAATTATAATTTGGAAAGACTTTCGGAAGATTTCTAATGGATGAGCCCGAGCTCATCTGTTATTTTGGAACTTCAGGTTGTATACCTCTTTGTACGTAGGAACAATGTTTTTGAATGCTTTTGAGTGCCCAGAAAATGTTATACTCAATCATTTTTAAAATAAATCATGTCTTTATTTCCTAACTGGAATATTTAAGAAGTTCACCGAATGCTGAGCGTGGACTGGCACTGGTGAAAGAAGGTACAATTAAGCGTCTAAGTGATGAGGAACATTTTTTAAATCTCAGTTTTGAAAATGTATCATTAGTTCTAAGATTTCAGTTAAGTGGTATATGCAGGTCACAATTTTACTATAAAAAAGAAATCATATACCCCCATTTCAGAACTGGGGAAGAGGTGTGATCTTTAAACCCTCTCTTATCCTCTTTCTTCTGTGAGGTTTGATTTTAAGATCTTTCTCTGCAGTATCTATTTATCTTTTACTAATGGTAAGGCTTCCCCCCCAAAATAGATGTTAATGATTATGATCATATTTCAGAGAGATGCTTTTGAGCTTCAATAGCTATAACAAATCTCAAAATTCCAGCAGCATATGATATTCTTAATAGGACACAGGGTTATGTTAAGCTCTTAAATGCTATGGCTAAGGCAACAGCTGCCTACTACAGATCCCTAACCCTTTGAGTAATGATTAGAGGCCCATCCTAGGGCAGAGAAAACTAAGCTTTTCTTTCCATGAAGCTCACCTATTAATCTTAGGCCATTCACTATCTCTTCGCTTAGCCTGAACCACTGGGTTATCATGAAGATAAAAGAAGGGGAGAGCCATCACTTGTGTTTCCTGGAGGACTTAATGCTTTGGGGTTTACTCCCCACTACACCTCTTTTCCATTACTTCCCTTAGATGGAAATATCAATGTCATTATGTCCAGTGACCAAACCAACAGGAAGAGGACACCTTTCCATTCAGATGGAAACAATCATTTGAAAGAGAAGTTTCAGAGTTCCTAAATGTCTGATTGAATGGTTGCTTCACGTTGCAAGCTGCCTGAGAGTTCCTGGGAAAAGTCGAATCCATTGTGCAACAGTTTTCCACAAGATACAGTGGGACTACACTGCAGGGGTTCTCAACCTTGGCAACTTTAAGACTTGTGGACTTCAATTCCCAGAATTCCTCAGCCAGCTTTGCTGGCTGAGGAATTCTAGGCGTTGAAGTCCACAAGTCTTAAAGTTGCCAAGGTTGAGAACCCCTGGACTACAGAATTAGAAAAAGGAAACCCACATTAGTTTCTAGGTAGCACAAAAGAGGTTATCTTCCAATTAATTCTTCCTGCTGAAGAAGAGAGGAAATCCAAGTATTTTGCTATCAGCCATCAATCCAGTCAATAGTCATGTGGCTTTCAGTTCCTCATGACTGAGCTATTTTATACAATTTTATTGAACAGACAGGTCCCAAGAACATCTCAGTTGGATCCCTTCAACTTCATCTTCCACATCTGCCTGTAACATTAACATGTGGATCTTTAAAAGCACACAAAGTTCATCTACTGACAGGCTGAGGATTAAGAGGACCAGTTCAGAAAATAAAATGAAATTTAACTCTTTTCTTCCCTTCTGCCTTTTTTAGGAAAAAAAAAATGCTTTATCTGCTGAGACAAAATCCCGTATTGCCACCTATAGAAATATGCAATTAGATATATACTGTATGTGCATGCACAAATCCCCTTCCTGTTATCCTTGGCAATCCTGTGAGGTCTCAGCCAACAATATCTGCATAAAAATATATTGTATATCAATTTTGAACAAGGCACTTCTAACATCAGTACAAGCATTCCAAAAATTACTAAAGAAGACAACAGACAGGAATTCTGGGAGTTGAAGTCCACAAGTCTTAAAGTTGCCAAGGTTGAGAACCCCTGGACTACAGAATTAGAAAAAGGAAACCCACATTAGTTTCTAGGTAGCACAAAAGAGGTTATCTTCCAATTAATTCTTCCTGCTGAAGAAGAGAGGAAATCCAAGTTCCAAAGCCAAACCACTGAGCATTTTATTTTTCCCTATGTTTTATTTTCATCCCATACAATCCCATTCTTACAGCATCCAGCAACCATCTTCAACTCTGTTTTTATCCAAAATAACTCTTCACTTCAGCAAACATGTTTTTCTAAATCAACAAATAAGCCTACTATTTTATATTCACATTTTTCTATGACCTACTAAAGAGGAAAAATGCTGGGCTGCACATGCTCTGCCTGGCATAAAGCCTCAATGCACTTCTGACATTTTGCTCAATGTATCTGTGGTATATTTTCAATCCGTCAAGCACTTTCCCAGACAAGCAAAAATCCTTGCATATTCTGTATTCATTCTTGCTAGGCTTTCTTTTATATTGGGGGAGCCCTCTCAGTGTTCTTCTATTCTTCAGGCAGAGATGCATCCTGCAAACACATTAAACAAATTGCACTGCCACTCCATAGGCCAACCTCATCCGTTGTAGATGTGCAACCCTTTCTCTAACTGCACCACCTTACCATATTTCAGTGTTTTTCAACGTTAGTAACTTGAAGATGTCCGGACTTTAATTGTTTCCAGAACACCCCACCCAGCATTTCAACATACTAACAGCATTTATGGCTCCTCACCCATCATTTTCATGACATTCGTTTAATTTCCACTATTCATCATTCCCATACAAAAATAAAATATTCCTTCCAGCATTCCCTCATTTAGGTTTGACCCCAAATAATTTTATCCTTTTTAATTTTAATTAAATTCTCTCCTGCTGGAGGCATCACCAACTTCCCAAACAAGTTTTTATTTCCATTAAAATTGCTCTGCATTTCCTCACCCACTTATTGTTATGTCTTTTGGCCCATTCTTTGCACGGGCACTCACAGTTGTGCGTTGCAGAAATAGCACAAGCCGCCTGTTTTAGTGTGTCCTGAGGGGGAAGCCATATACAACTAGAATGAATAACATTGACTGTTGGTATAAATGTTTTTTTTCCTCAATTGCCCAGTTTAATACAAAAGTAAGAAAATTGAAAGTCCAGCAACTGCAGTAGAAGAACGGGCTAACTGACCCCATAACATTTTTAGAAAACCTGAGGAAACATGCTATTTTTTATAATGCAGACGTATCCCATTAACATCAGCGTCAACTCAATATCTCTATTGAGTCTCATTCCAAAAGTTGCAGATTCTTCGCCAACTTCTAATTTCAGAAGTTGCAAACTATGCTTACTTTAAAAAAGCTTTCCTGAGAACATAACTACTTCATGTAGCTAAGATAGCACCTTTAGATTTTCAAAGTTTTATTAAAACTAATAGAATTTATTTATGAATTGGACAGGGATTGAAATACAACACATGTAAAGTTAAAGCATGAACTATTTATACAACAATCCAAAGAGGCACTAAATAAACATGCATTTTTGACTGAAACGTGAGGATTTGAGGCCTTTTCATCTAACTAAAAGCAGCTATACAGAGGGGGAAGTCTATATATTTTTAACACCCCACCCAAAACCGCCAAGGGATTCACAAAATAAACCTTTAACAAATCCTCTGCCAAAGACTCAGTTAGCTGGCTAGTTGGCTGGTACACACAACTCAAACATCAGAAGGATGGCCTGCTAAGGTGCGCTCCAATATTCCTTCGGTGGTTTCTGAATGACTTACCTCATTGTCATGTGGAGGCAGTTGGTGCAGAAGCTGTTTGATACGGGCTTTCTCTCCAGGGCTGTTGACATAGGGTACTTTGTCTTCTGGTAGACAGCTGTAGTATTGATGAACCTAAATGTTAGAAAAGGAGGGCTGCAGTACAATGTCTTGGATTTTGGTTGGGACACACTTGCTTATAACAAGAAACCAAATATTCTCAGCAGCAGTAATTATTCAACAGCTGGAGATGCATGCAATACATACACACAGAGAGAGATAGGCAACCTTCCTTACAAGGAAGCCCATTTGACAGAAGCGGAAATTTGTTTGACGTAAGGGTCAAAGCGAGAGAAAAACATTAGCTGTTTTCTGTCTAACGCGCCAAGATTGTTTCTTTACCGTCTTCTCAGTTAGTCTCCAGAATGTGAGCATGTTTCCCTTGGCAAGATGGAACTGTCAGCACCTGCCTTTGTAAGCATAGGTTAAGACGCTTCTCCTTGGCATCCAATCTATGACTGGGTAACCGAGCCTCCACCTACACTGCAGCCCTGAAGGCCTTTTCTGTAACAATTTGTGAAAATAATCAGTAGATAAAATCTGTCGGAAGACTGAAAGTTCTCTTTAAGACCCAGAGCATGTAATTAAAAACCATCATGAAAAGTGCAACAGACTAAGCAGTGCAGCGAGACCAGAACCCAGGAAATTCCATTTATAATACGGAGCATTTATGATGTACAGGCAGCTCCCTTTTATTCTACTGCTGTAGCTAAAGATTCCAAACAACAGTACAATGTTGTCTGATGCATACATGAAAGAAGTCTTAACTACAATTATTAGCTTAGATATGAGATAGTAGATATTAAGAGAAAAAGACAGGAAGTATTAAATGTTGAAATAGGAGGAATTTTGGTTACTAAATTTAAGATATATGGAAATTACCAGAAAATAAGAATATTATATTGTATTACTAATTAGTTGATGTAAGATGGTGAGAACTCAAATAGATGTGTATTCTGAACATTAGATCTTGTAATGAATTGTGATAAAGGGAATTGGGTTTATTTAAAATTTGGAAATTATAAATATCAAACGTGAAATATAAATATTAATGGCAAACCAAAAATTGGGAAAAACTAATCACGACATTGATTGTCTAAAAAGATTGAATGTTAAAACAACTAGGATATGTATAAATTAAAAATTATTGATAAATGCAAGAAAGTTATTTTTTATTTAATTGATATAATAAGAATTGTACTAATTTAAAGATGAGACAGTAAATACTAAGGGGAAAAGAGGGGAAACACTTAATGTAATAGTTTGAGATCTGTACTAAAGATATTTGTATGTTATGGAATTATTGAGCAACTCAGCCGCCACGTTGCCTTTCCAATACTTAAATGTAAAACTAGAAAACCAATAAAATTTTCTTTAAAAAAAAATGCCGTACCCACCATCTTGCGGAATGGACCATCCCACTCTCAGTATGCTTCTGATCTAGTACGTAGCTATGTGCATGTCATATTTCATTTCACAACCTATCAAGTCAAGATATAGTTTTCCTCATTTTGGCAGACTGTACCGTAACCCACTGTGTTTTGGAAATTGGCTTAGAACATTATGTGAACCTAGTTTTATTAGGTTTTTTTTTTAGCAAACTATAGCAAAAAAAACAACAACAACCTATGATTTAGAACAGTGGTTCTCAACCTTTCTAATGCCGCGACCCCATAATACAGTTCCCCATGTTGTGGTGACCCCCAACCGCTTATACATCACCGGGTGCCAGGGGCGTGGCCAAAGAAAAGGGGGAAAAATGGCAGACAGCCTTGTTTGGCGACCCCCGTGAAATAGTCGTTCGACCCCAAATGGGGTCCCGACCCACAGCTTGAGAACCACTGATTTAGAATAATCTGTTCTCCCTCCTATTCTGATGTCAGGACAACAGAAAATATGGACAGGGAGTAAAATTGTTATAGGATACGTTAGTGGCCAGATGCTAAAAGTTGAAAAATTGTGATCGCTAGAAAAGAGATCTGGAATGTAAAAATAAGAATTGTACAGGAATATCTCCCAATATATCAAAATGTTTTTAACCACAAATTTTGCCTTCTGACATGGTATAGTCCTGGCAAACAACATCCTGAGATCTAACCAGACTGCTTATTGAATGACTACTAACGTTGTATGAATGTTAAGGATGCAAATAATTCAGTTGAAAAAAGCCACCATTGCCTATTAAAAAGCTGGAGAGACAAGAGCTGTGAAGTCTCATCTTCTAGTCCATCAAAAATCACCTCTGAGAGTGTTCCAAGGGGATTTTTCACATCCTACTGTACCTTGTCCATCAAGGAGAGGTTAATTGGTATGTATTCTCTGAATGAATGAGTGAATGTGAGATACTGGTAAGATACATCAGTGGTCTCCTGCCATTGTTGAATAGTATTCACTGATCTTGTTCTGATGCTGCAAGAAAAAAAAAGGATTGCTAATTCTACAACAGAGGGTCAAGCCTTTTGTTAGAAGGCCATGCACCTCAAAACTTTGAACTTCAAAATTTGACACCACCAAAGATCTCTAATTGGCAATCTAAGTTAAATCTTTCACCTCAATTAGGATGATTACTACAGAATGTTCTGTCTTGATAGACATATCTAGAATAGCAGGCAGGACGGCAGATTGGGGGGGAGGAAACCTTGGGAAGGAGCGTTTAATAGGAATGGATGTTGGCATGTGGGAACAGCATGTAGGGCAGCAGGTCAGAGGAGGAGGAATGCTAGAAAAGAGAGGATAGATAGAAATGGATGAACAACAGGCAAATCAGCAGATTACGGGGAGGACATTGGAGAGGGGAAGATGGACAGTGGTGGAGGAGGGCAAACAGGAACAGCAGGTAGAACAGCGGATCAGGAAGGAAAAGACATTGAGGAAGAGAACATCAATAGGAATGGTTGATGAAAGGCAGGAGCAATATGTTAATCAACAGGTGGGAGGGTTGAAGGAAGGGGGGAAGGATGATAGGAATGGACAACAAAGGGTGTATGAATCGGCAGACTAGGAGAGGAGGGGAGTTGGAGGAGGGAGATGAGATAGGAACTGGCAATGGAATGCAAAAACGGCAGGCAGACCAGCAGCCCAACAGGACTCGTGTAGTGCCGAATCGGAGGAGGCACCTTGCATTGGGTAGAGAGGAGGGATTGAGGAGTGTGTTGGTGATAACAGCGCAGGGAGGGGGAGATGGCACAAGGATGACAGAGTAGAAAAATACAATGTTAGAGTGCAAAAAAGAGAGGGCAGAACAGTCAAGGCAGTTACAGGCAATCAGGAAGAGTGGCCCTGTCACGAGGGCAATGAGTAGGCAATTGGATCAGCAAGGGGATAAAAAGAACTTTCCCACCCCCTAAGCCCCACTCTGAGGACGCTGGCAGAGGACTAGCGAAAGCTAAGTTGTTTTAATCTTGTATATAACTGTTTTTATTGTTTTAAATGTGGTTTTAACAATAAATAACTGGAGTATACTCTTCCCGGAGATCGAAGATTGCATCATTGAACATATCTTTCTATATCTACAGTATTAACATAATAACCAGTTCTTTAAAATGTGGAAATGTAACAATTATTTCTTGAAACTGTGAGATCCTCATTCCCATGAACATTTCAACAACAGAAGCTTATAATCTTTTAAATTGTGCCTAAATCATTAGTTCTTTTAAAATCTGGTTGCAAGATACCTAAGGCCATTGTAGACAGATAGACAATCTTCACCTGGCCTTTGACAAGAGAGTAAAACCTTCTTGCTTCATCATATTTGCCATCTATTATCTTTATGTTTTATTGATTTTATTGTAATATCTTTATTTTGTTCTGCCATAGTCATTCTATTTCTATTTGCAGGACTTTGTACTTGGTGATTTTCTTCTTTGTCTTTTATTCTGCTGTCTCCAGGTACTGAAACATCCACTATCCATATTAGAATTTTAATTATAATATATGTACATATTAAATAATATATGCCAAAAAGTAGATAAATAACTATAATTTTAAAAACTGAAAGAAGTGTGAATGTTAACCAAGAGAGAAAAATCTCCTCTAAAGCAGTCCTAAATTTGATCCAGGATCATTCATACTTGGAGACCAAATGAAATCAATGGGACATGTTATTTGTGATTGCAGTGGTTCCACACTCTATAAGACTGTCTGGATCTAATACATGTGTAATAATCAGGCAAGATAAAATGTTCACTGATTTTGTAATCTCAGGTTGAAGAAATTAAGCTTCTTAATATAGCCATCTCAACACCTTAGGCTTGATTTTGCATCTGATGGCTCACACGTGTAGAATTTTCAGAGTAGTTATGATGCTCTCACTAAACAACTGAAAGGGGATTGTATTTTCACAAAATAGCTTCCATGATGGATGGAACACATTGGGGGGGGGGGGAAGCCATTGGCTGTTTTCTGCCAGCTTCTTTAGCTTTGAGGGTGTACCCTTGCTACCTAGCTTATCTCCTCCTGAAAAATGACTACATTTCAAAGCAAAGCATTGGACTGCAGATATTTAACTCATCCAGCCAGCCAGCCAGCCAGTCATTCACACACAAGAGGCCTAAGGATATTCTTGGGTCTAAAGATAAAGCCAGAAGCTGGTGGTGCTAGCTTCCCATTTATTGTTTTTTTTTTAATTCAAAACTCTTTTAAAAGAGAAGAGTTTATGGGAAAATTGGTTCCCATGGGCATAGTACTTGTCCCTAAAATATTTATTTTTGAATGGTCCAAATTTCAAATGCAAGGGAGCTTCACAAAGCTAGGGTCATCCCTAAGAAGGTCCTTCCCCAGTAGATTCCAGCTGATCTTCTTTCTGAGTCAGCAACCGTAATAAACCAAGATTGGAGGCCTTAAGATATGAAAGTATCTTAGGATACTTTCAGGAAAGCATATCTCACACCATGTAGGGAATTAGATATAACACAAGGACCTTGATATGGACAACTAAGGTAAGAATGCCAGTTATATGCTCCTGCTAGAAAACATCTGACAGAAATTCAGCTGCCCCTTTTTCCTACTGTTACTATTTCTGAGGTTTCTTCAAGGGCAAACCTAAGTGATGTGTATTATAATATTCAAATTGGAAG